ATTTGCTACCGGTTGAACAAGACTGAAAAAATCAAACTCTTAGCTGGTCTAGGCGAGAGTCGAGCATGACTTCATCTCTGACCCTGAGTGTGAGAAATGGCTCCCTTGCTACCATCTTAACAACAAAACATAGTAACAAAACTCATCAGTGAACATGAACGCTGGGATTGTTGGTTTCCACACATTTCGTACTTCTCCAGAAAAACAAAGTGCAGCATTGAAAACTCCAAAGCACCAACATAAAGTCACCATCACCTGTAAACGCCAGTAAGTAAAAAGTCAAGTGGAAACATAATGGGCTCTGAATAGTTCCCATTAGATGCAAGGCATTCTCTGACTCATTTAAGTTGTAATCCAATTTCCTTTATCGCTGTTTAATAAAGAGCGAGCGAGTGAGATCGTCAGAAAGAACAAAGCCAGCAGTATTGTTAAACACTTTGAAGAAAACATTATTTTTTGGCTGCATGGGATGGGTGTGACTTGGCGAGTGTGGCTGTCATAATTCTTTACCGAATCACACGGATTCACAAACATTCTTTCATGAGAAAACGAAGCATTTTCTAAATAGAACCCGTACAGTTAGCGTACAGAAAAGTACGTAAGTAGTGGAAAATAAACTCGCCATAAAGAACATTTGTTGAGACCAACAAAAGTTGAATAGGTGTGAGACCTTTGATTGGGAAGCGCTGGGTAATGAAGAACTAGGGCAAGTGAAGAAGGAATAGCAGACTGTCTACTGCACAATTAAAAATTGCAGCTAGCGAAGAAGAACGTGATCATGAGAAGCTCCAACATGATTCATCGATGACTCATACCACATCAAGTCCTTTTCGGTGGCAGATGCACAAGACTTGTACGGACACGAAGCAAAAGTTATTTAGGCATGGAATTGTAGAATTCCGGCCGGCAGAGCGTCTGATGACAAATTAAGAACAAAATTCATTCAAATTAATTTAATTAATTCAATTCAAATTTGATCTTCGAATCAAAGATCAGAAATCATGGAACAACCAACAACCTATGTTTGAAAGTTTGAGAAGCTCTGTAGGCTTCGTTTGCGCCCGGCTGCATACCGAGAGGCCGGGTCACCTCAACGCTGAGTCTAGCGGTGGTCGACATAAAGACTTGTCGTTCGTTAAGGTGGGTTCGAGTGTTCTGTGATCGCGATGCTTTCTATAACCATTGGGTCTAGGAACTGTTTTCAAAGTTTCGAGTGGCGTTTGGGGATGAGTAGCAATTATCTTTGGCTTTCTTGGCTCTCACGAAGGCGACAAGGCCGAAGCATTAGCCGAATAAAAGTTATTGGTGTCTTGGTTATGGTTTCAAGGGAGGAGTACTACAGACCATGCCAAGATTTACTGAAAGTCGAACGTGGATACTTAGTTTGAGAACATTTGTAAAGAAGTCAAGCATTTACCGAGAAATGAGGTTTTGTTTGATATTGAATCAGTGTCTCGTCAAGGCGGTAAATGGACAACAGAATGCGCAAAAGGGAGATTACAAACCACCATCAGTTCGTAGTTTTCGATTTCACTCTACTCAGTTTTCGATTTCACTTTCGTGTTCCTCACGGAAAGAAAAATGTAGGAAAAGGAGAGCGTAATCGAATCGATGGTTCTGTGAAAATGATCTTTAACGGACGTTAATTTACGAAAATGAGAACTCATGCATGGAGCTTGATTCCTAACAGTGTATTCACGAATAAAATAAATGAAAATTAACAACTTGGGCTGTCGATATGCCTTCAACTTAGTCCAGATTACTCTTAGTCATCATATCAGAAGATTCACTCACATATGATATTTTTAAGCTGCATAGCCTATCCACCTTGTATGGCAATGCCACAGCAATGAGACGATAAGCGGCCAGAATAAAAATCATGGGATACTCTGCAGCCCAGCTTCCTTGGAAAAACGCCCCATTCACCTGAAAAACAAGCACCTATAGCTGCTTTCATGAGGAATATAAAAGCCTCTGATGCTAGATGCTCTCCGCGGAATTCAACAAGTGTTGTTCATTGAAGGAAGTGTTATTATAATTTGAGTTGACCCAGAATTTTTGACAAATTGGCTGCATTTTGGTTTTATTTCTTTTCCACTAATTCCCACGGAGCTAAAGTGGTGTATGTAAACAACCACCATGCATCGAATGTCAGAAAATTTGGCGGTCGATTCTTCGATGCAAATGATGTTGAAGTGGAAATACCCAGTACCGATTATCATATTTCTTCAAACATCCAGCGTATATTTTCCAGAAACTCAGGGAATGTAGCGGCCGAAAGGTTATTTTGGATGAGGACGACGATGCAAATGAAATGATACTGAAATGAGTTGCGTTATCTCCAATCTGCTTTCGAGCGACCTCCAAGTTCTTACGATGTCGTTGTTAACAGTCAGTCCTTATCCGTTCGTTATTCTCTTGATCCCCATCAAATATGTCTCCCGTCCCACTCTCTACATCACATATCAAAACCAACGCCTCACTGCTTCTGGGACACCACAGTATTACGTGAAATTTGCGTTCTAGCGCCTATTGTCAGTCTATCCTATCAGTTGTTATCACTTTCTGACCCCACCAAATATGTTCCCGTCCAATCCCCTACATCATACTAAAAATACTCATGCTCCATGCTCCATGGCTGCAGTGAAGCGGCTATTCGTGACAGACAGACAGACGGACGTACACACGCAACACGCAGACACACACATATACGCACATACACACACAGATACACACACTTAGCGAATCACATACAGTAAGAGTGTCTTTCTTACATATTTTTTAATTGATGGCTATTTCATATGTCATGGAATTGAAAGTGAACCGGTTGAGCGAACAAAAAGTTGGCTAACGGTAGCATGTTATATATTTCCTGAAGAAATTGCGGACTTCTCTCAAACAAAAAACACATCGCTGATTTCCAAATACTGGCTAACGCATTACTGGACGCGTTTTCGTTTGGAGTTGCAACTTGAGTCGTACCACATTGACTTTGGGATTTTTAGAGGACTCAGCTTTCTGATTTCTTCCTGGAGAATCTTCTCATTATTAAAAGTGCTGTCCACCTAGTTCACGTAGCTAGCGTCACGTGTTCACTACTTTACTGATGTTTTCTGTGAGTTAGCTTTGCGCACCTAAAGCGTGCGCCGAATGTGTATGTAAATAAATGAATAGCTAAAAAAACTTGCTACTCAACGAGATGTTTGTGAAAAAAGAGGTGAAAGGTCACTTCTCTCCCCGAGATGGAATTCCTTGTGAGTAAGGAAAGCGAATAAGATTAAGAGTGAGCACATCGGGAAAGTTTATGCGCCACACGAAGAAGCTACCTGGCTGGCAGAGTGGCGCTTTGGAGACCAACAGTGCGCTGATTGCTGAGCATGACCTCGGAAGCACCTCGCCCCGAAAGTAATCTACAAATAAGTTTAGTTGGTGATTTTGTACGAGTTGTGTCGCCAGCAGCGCCATATCTGAAGCAACCGGACAGGAGTTTACAATACCGCTACTAATTTTTGTTCAATCGACGAAATGCGACGCAGTCAGTCCGTCGCAACCGTCGCCTCGCCATAACTCGTGAACAAATGGATTAGGTCATTCGAAAGTTATATACCACTGGATAGCTCTGCTCACGAAGAATCCAACGGTTCAGAGGACTATTGAGTTCTCTGAATTTTTCGCTTCATTTTCATGAAATTTATCAAATTACCTGAGGCTGACTCATTAGCGAGCGTCGCTCGCTATAATTATAACCAGAGGGGAACAGATATTAATAGTACTATTTAGCGAGTAATAAAGTTATTATATTACTCCTATGTAAAGTGAAAAAGAGACTGTTGTGTTCTTCAGATGGTGCTCGTCATTTTTGATAGTCCCAGGTGGATCAGATTTGTTGAATGCCATTTTGCACGGAAAAGCTCCTTTGAGCCGAAGTATTGCGAAAACTAATAGGATCTGAGCCTTGTCACTTGACGTTCCTTTTCTACAGAGCTCACCCCATTGACGAAAGTTTTTGAAGTTCCTACCTAGCACCAGCTGTCAATTTCGAGGCCTCGAATCAGAGCGAAATTCACATTTTTTCATGGAAAGAAAACAGTACAAAAAGTATGCCATTGAGATCCCCTGAAAAATGATTTTCATCAATATGAATTTCAAGTCACGAAATTCTCTATGCTTTTTCGAGTTTCATCGCGGCCATCTCTCCAGCACTAAACCATTCTCTAACCTAATGGGCATCTCCGATCCGAAGACCGCTGGACCTTTAGAGTCTCTCAATTCACGCGCTTTTGTCGCCACTCAAAGATCAACGAGGGAATGGTAAGCCTGCGTTATTTTTCTATGAACAGCAAATAATCGAAATCCTCATTTTCTATTTCTTATCGTGATTGCCCCCCCCCCCTAGTTCCCACCTCAAGGAACCAACGGGGGGAGAAGAGTGAGTCATCCTAGTGGGTCACGATTGGTAATAATATTATAGTAAGTGAGGCACACTATGACCTCCCAACAGAAACGTGACACACAATGATCTATTTTGAATTAGCTAAGTTCGATGATTGCTGTTCATAGAAATAACGCAGTCCTACCATTCTCTCGTTGATCTTGAGGTGCGACAAAAGCCCTCTGGTAATTGAGAGACATCTGGAGGTCAGCGGCTCGGCGAGACGCCCAATTAGGTAGAATGGTCTAGTGCAGGAGAGATGGCCGCGATGAAACTCGAAAAAGCATGGAAAATTTTGTGACTTGTAATTTCATATCAATGTAAAGCATTTTTCCCGGGGATTTCAACGGAATACTTTTTTTAAACCGAATAAAATATAATATAAATATAAAAAAAAAAATAAATAAAAAAATAAAAAAATAAAAAAAATAAAAAATAAAAAAAAAAATAAAAAAATAAAATAAAAAAATAAATAAAAATAAAACGAGTAAACCCGAAACGTTGTCGAAATAAATGCTAAATGAGCTTCTCTTCAATCTGCTACACAGAAGGTATACTTTTTGTACTGTTTTCTTTCCATGAAAAAATGTGAATTTCGCTCTGATTCAAGGCCTCGAAATTGACAGCCGGTGCTAGGTAGGAACTTCAAAAACTTTTCGTCAATGGGGTGAGCTCTGTAGAAAAGGAAAGTCAAGTGACAAGGCTCAGATCCTATTAGTTTTCACTATACTTCGGCTCAAAGGAGCTTTTCCGTGCAAAAATGACATCCAACAAATCTGAGTAATATAATAACTTTATTACTCGCTAAATAGTACTATTAGTATCTGTTCCCCTCTGGTTATAATTATAGAGAGCGACGCTCGCTAATGAGCCAGCCTCAGGTAATTTGATAACTTTCATGAAAATGAAGCGAAAAATTCAGAGTAACTCAATAGTCCTCTAAACCGTTGGATTCTTCGTGAGCAGAGCTATCCAGTGGTATAATTTTCGAATGACCTAATCCATTTGTTCACGAGTTATGGCGAGGCGACGGTTGCGACGGACTGACTGCGTCGCATTTCGTCGATTGAACAAAAATTAGTAGTGGCGTATTGTAAGTTCGCATGTGCCACAAAGGTTGCGAATGAATTATATTTATCGCCATCTTGCGCGAGTCCGTGCGTAGTGGGAAAACTACGGTCCATTGCGTTCTTCGTTTCGCGTTTTCTCGACCGATTTTGCTGGTTTTAGGCCATTGGCGTACCATTAAGCACTCCATCGTCTCCAATAAGCCCCTCCAAAACCTACCGTAATCGCCGCCTTTTTCAAGCTTGACTTTGAAACTTCAAAGAAGGCAAAAAGACTAGCTTTGATACTCCACGAGAATTCGTTTTGACTCAATTGCATAGTCTAATGAACCTGAGCTAAAAGTAACGAATTCTCGTAATCTTACCCAGTTCAGGGTTTCATCCATATTATCGTGCGAAAAGGTGAACGACACAGCAATTAATTGCGTTAAAACATTTATAACACAGGCAATTGAAGAATGTTGAGCAATACGGTATGAAGGCAACCTCGCCAGTTCTCTAGTCCATTGAATAACCTGGAGAGGGCAGAATTTTGATGATATCAGAAGAAGTAGTCAAAGCACCAAACGAGATTTGAACAACAACTGACCGTGACAAGTCGAATTTGAAGAACAATGAACACCACTGCTACTATTATATAAGTCACATAAAAGGGAGTATGAAAGGAAGAATATGAAGTGGTGATATTGTCCATTGTCTAAGAAGAAGATGCCGTGAGACTGAGATTGCCTCCAAGTGTCACTATGCGCCGGAGCATTTGTTGAAATCTGCCTCATTGAGTGTAGGCGTGGCCAACAGCTAACGTTGAGGGCAGTTTCCACGGTAGCCTAGGTGTTGGTTGTAGCGCTCAGAGATGAAATAGTGGAAGTGTTAATTGAACGAATTAATGTTGATTAATTGAGCTCGAGTGTCAGAGGAAGCATCAGAAATCCATGGAAATCTGGTAATGGCGCACTCTACTTTAAAGCAGAGATTACGATAAGTTTGGGTTGGGTTCATAGTGGAAGTGGAGATGCTGAATAATGCCCCAGTGGCGAAAAAAGCAAAGAAATCCGTCAAAACGCGCAAAATGGGACCCTTTCTTTGCCCGTTGACCTCCGATAATGGACGAGCTAGCAACCAACTAAGAGGTCGTTTGCACATGTTAAACCGATAGCCACCATCATACCAGCAAAGATCATGCTTTGATTGATAACGCATTCCATGGGAAAGTTATAGGATACGCGCTCGAAGTGGAATACCTCATCAAAATGATAATCGAACAACGATGCTGCTGAGGGGCGGAGCAAAGGCGGTGGCGGAGCTCATCCCTGTCCTTCAATGCGGCACGCATTCTACTTCCATTTGTACATTCGTAGTGGCGTTTGAATGCGATGTGGCCTATACAATGACTTGCGGGGGCCAGCCGATGTACAAGTCAGTGTTTTTATCCTCCCAGACAAGTCTGGTACCAATTAACCGGAGGGATGGAAGGCTTGGTTGGCCCGGGCGACTCACGACCCAGGATTTGATCCCCGGACCGCTCGCGTGGTAAGCGCGCCACTTGCCACTACACCGACCTTGCATTAGGTGAGAACGTGAAATCGTAGCACTTGTACTCTGGCGCAGACATTAAGACTTATCAATGATGTTCTCCCCGTGATCACTTACAACTTTGGCATTATTTCGCGGAGAGTCACCGAAAGGATGAAAAAAGCGAGCCCGTTCTTGAAGTCAAAACCCTCATTATTCTCATTTCATACGACGTAAAATATGTTCAGCGTGAGTGAAGAAACGTAGGGTTGATTAGAATAAGGTTTGATAAAGATATGATATCATGTTCAACCTAAAAGGTTGAAGGTGTTATCATGAGTAACAGCGTACAACACATGGCGCAACCCAAAAGGGGATTGATCAGCGCTGAATCCATTATCCTTTATCATTTTGTCGATCCGAAGAACAAACATAGACGAAGGTGTAAAACATCTTCACTGTATACATTCAGCTGAACACCTTTGCACAACCCGTGAGAATGTAACGGCATTGACAGACGGCGAACTTTCCCGTCGGTGCCTGGTGATGTTAAGAGGCAGTCCGACGGTTTCTCTGGAAGATGATACAGCTGTTATCAACGCTTTACAAGAGCTGCTGCCAGCAAATTCGCTAAGTAATCATGCTTGTACGTCCATTCTTGATGTTTTTATTCAGGGTATCTAAAAGAACACGTTCAGTCCAAAGGCACAACCCAGGCAGGGTCGTGTGAACGCTTTCCTTCGGTCTGTAGACCCCTAGAGGACAATCACAAATGTGGCGTTCCCGTGCACGGAAACCAACCGACAAGAGCGCTTGGGCCTTGCAAAGTAAGCTGCTGAAGCTGCAGATTTTTTCTCTTATCAGGCTGTTGTCTCTCATCTGTAGCGCTCTCTCGCCTCATACTCTCCTCTCCGCGCTTAGTCTCTCATTCCCTTAGCACAGCCGATTAGGAAGGTGAGTGAGCCCTTAACCTGACCTAGCGTTTTCGACGGATTCTTTTCCTTTTTTCTTTACTGCCGGCCCATTTCGCACCAATACGTGTGCGAAGCCACACCAATGTGATCCTGGGACATGCCTTTAAGTTCGATCTCGTGATTACGTCATAATTGTCAGGAGCGCATCCTCCACTAATAAACCTGTTATTTTCAAAATTTAAAAATTTCGTGCCGTACCTAGGTTGGCCTCATTCTAAAAAGGGATCGATCGTCGTCGAATGCTTCTTCATTGTCCTTTTGAAGAATACATAAACCTCCTCAAACGTATATGACAAAAACCTGGTTTCTTAAAGGCAAGCCTCGGGATAAAATGGGTGTGGGAGTTCAAGCATTCAGTCATGGAGCTGGAGGTGGAGTGGTCTGTAAACGAGAAAAAAGCAAGAGGAGCCCCCAATTGCGCTCCAAATAAGGACCGCCTCTAATTCAGCTGCATTCCTTCTCGAGATAGAGAAAGGGTGTGCTGGAAGAGTTTCACGAACTTAGCAGCAGTTGCTGCTAAGTTAAGTTAAGGCGCAAATGACATTGAACCGCGATGCAACTGCTGCCGCAAATGCGTCCGCGTTTCTCTCGTAGCGTCGCGTGGCAGCCGACAGCGGAAGGCGGGTCGAACGAGCTCCTAGCGCCTCTGTCCCGCACTTTCGAGCGGCAAAGGAGCGCGGCGCTTGTCTACTACGCTCGTGGATGGAACAGGTCAGCATGCCTAATCCCGGAGCGTGTCCTAAAGTACCCATCGGACTTGCACTTTTCGAGTGTATTTCTACGGTAAATGCTGTGTGCACTTATTACGAAATAAAATTCCGAAAGTTTGTCCAAATGAAAACAGAGGTGCTAGTGAAGAGACAAGAGAAGGAAGCCCCGGAGTTACTTACTTAATTACTTATACGGCTCATTTCGGCTTTTCTGCGCTGCGGAGTTCGGATCGATCGATATTGAGTGAACCGATTAAACCTCAAAAGACATCGCTCGAGCGCTCTGTGAGCTACAGTCAAAGTCCTTGACGTGGATGCACTGCTCACCCATGTCTCAGCCGCGTAACAGAAGCGCAGGAAGAACTGTAGAAATGAAATGCGCACGAAGTTCTGGACCAACCAGATGGTTTGTAACTTCTTTCAGAGGACCGACGGCTACTCACTCTGCTCTCTGTCGAAGTTCCCCGAATCCCCGAAGTTGCTCAAATTAAAGAGATTTTCCTACTTGCAAGGTGGACTACGAACGAAAAAAGACAAGGATCGAAAGAGAATGAGCGAGAGAATATAGAGGATACGATAGCAGACACTGGTACAAAAACCACTGCAACCAGCGACAGCTGAAGCCTACGGGAAGAAACTGACAAGACATTTGTCATGTCTTTGCGAGTCTTAGGAACGGCACAGGCTATGTACTATATGCCCGTAGACTGACTACTAGCAGGGTGAATAACGGTCGAGGAAATCCTCGACCATAGCTCTCTACCATGCGAGAGTAGTGCCGAGAGTGAACATCCGCGCGGAGAGCACAGACGGCACGGCATGGCGAGTGTGAATGTCCGCGCGAGAGATCGTCTCTGATCGGGCAGAGAATCCTCGGCTCCATAGAAAAGGTCACCAGCGGCGCGGACGCGTTCGCGTGTTGGTGACGTCAATTTGACGTCACAGCGGCGGCGAGGGAATGAGCAACGGCTGACGTTACCGCCAATACTTCAATACATAACGAGCGTTTGTCGCACAATAAGTTCACCGTGTAATAAGTACTGGTGTAAGTAGGAATCAAAGTCAAAGAACGGGTTTATAGGAGCAACTTTAACTTGGTGTTGCATTTCTAAGAGTTCACGGATGATGGTATTGATTTCTTTCGTTTCATTATGGATTGGAAATACCCATTTCTACTTTGTAATTCTTGGTTTTCGAACATTTTATGGTATTATTGGCATGTGCCCTCTCGATTACAATCGGAACATTGCATATTTCATTTGAAAATTCCTACTCTTTGGGGAGGATGACACTTTACGTGCTAAACTCATTTCACTCTCCGCACTATTGATTGCATTGGTTAGTAAAGTGCCAGCAACTCTGTTACTGTTCGAGTGAAGTGTCAGTGGTGCTGGCCCGTTTTCCATTGCTCTTGCCGCAGCTGTGACGTCACCAGCACGCGCTCGCGTCCGCGTGCCGGTGACCTTTTCTCTCCCCCCCGGGGATCCCGAAGTCAGGAACATCAGGCGTATTCACCCTGCTATGAATATCACGGATGAATTGATTCCTCTCAATAACGGATATGGCCTTTGAATTATTTGGAAAGAAGGCTGGAACAATCTTCAAAAAAATAGTATCATACGGAACTACAAGCTTTCTTTTTACTCATAACTTTGTTGATAAAGTCGGTATCGCTCCGTTGCAGAAGGCAAGATGACGTGCTAAATAACATATTGTCTTGACAAAAGCAAGATTCTCTGCAAGTTTGACATGGCATCATGTCAAACGGTCCACGAGAACTCCTTTTTCTCAGGAAGTGTGTATTTGTTATCTTTCTTGTGTGGTAGGTCTCCGATTATGCGATTTTGGCCATTTTAGCGATTCCTGTGATTTGATCATTATTCAAACATTTTTAGAAAAACTCGATAGCCCATCAACCGAAGCTTCTTTCCAGGGACCACGCCTTTTGTAACAATGCCTAAGTATGGCGCATACATCACGTAAATAAGTTACCTAAAATGTTTGAAAACCAGCTTAAAAAAGACTGTGACATGACATCATGTCACACGGTCCCACGTGGCCGAAAGAGTGTGGTATGACATCATACCACACGGTCGTCAACGTGTTAAAGCAATTCCAGAGGTGAATATTACAAGAATTTCCATGATATGGAAATATCGGCAAGAAGTGCCAGCTTATTGAAAATTGTAAATACAAAATGTTAGTAATGCACTTCAGATGCACTTATTTTTTTTTGACCGGCCAATGCACACATTTATTGGTAATAGGAAAGTTATTTAGTTTTTCTAAGTCACTTCATTCGTGAAAAGCCAAGTGGATAACATGTGATTCATTGAGTGTGATATGTTTCTCCAGGTTTCTAAGATAAAGGTGTGGACCGACACACAATCGTAGCGAAGGACATGCTACCAGTGATCTAGTGTTGCCCTTCCCACGGCGCTAACGGTGCGGTAGGCCTTCCTCTTGCTGACTGATCGTGTATCCGCTCAGCAGAGAGT